ATATAAGAAAAGGGTCAAAGTGGTCTGACAGTTTCCTGAGAGACTAGTCAAGATGTTATCCTGTTCCCTGCATAGTCCTAGCCGTGTTAGCTGTCCTCCATGGTCCCTGGGGTTTTCTAGAAGCTGGGCAGGCAAAGAAGTCCCTTCCCCTGTATATAATCCAAGTTACCTCTCAGCCCAGCTTGCCTTCTCTCATGTTCCCACTCACTCTATGCTGACCTCATAGGACTCTGTTTAGAAGGTTGCCTTCGCTGTCTGACTGACTGGGCATCTGACCAGTCCTGCCAAGACTCTCCCAGAGGCCCCCTGGAAACTGTGAGGAAACCCAAGCCAAGAGACTGGCAGTGCACTCTGTACTAACACGTCTGGGCCCCAATCACATCCAATTTCTGTGTGGGCAGAACCTACAAGGTCAGGGGTTGTGGTCACTCTAGAAGTTGGTCTTTCTAGCTATTTGTGTTCTTGAAGATATGAGACCACAGTGACTGGGCAGAAGACTAAGCCAATGAGAGATGCTCTCTAGTGGTGGAGGCGCTGGTGTTCTGACTATGTGGAGGGAGGCGCGTACTAAGAATCACACACTCTGACACACTCTGATTAACAACTCACACAGACATGAGCAGGGAAAGCACTGGTCTTCTCTTCCCTGACTCTACCATGAGTCCCACCTAGAGTTGGGCAATGAGGAGAGTTGGGCAGAGGACAGCCAGTCAGTCTAGCTGCCACCACCAAGGGACTGAATGCTGCTTCTTAGCACAGGATACTTGGTAATGGTTTTTTTGTTCCGGACTACAAATAGATGGCAGCCCCTCAGCCGCAGTCCTGCTGGCTTGGCCTCCTACTCCTGGTATGGAGCTGCCCCCAGGGAAACTGCAACAGCTGTCATGCTGAGCCTTGGAGAGCAGTCCGGGTGGTGCGGGTGTTTGTCTTCAGAAAGGGTTTGGGGTAGAACACTTGCTCATGGTTTGTTGGGAAATCGCCTGCATCTGGGGATGAACCCAGATTCACAGGGCTCCATTTTCAGTCCACAGTAGGTAAAATGTTCCAAGACGCCCCCACTGCCCCCTGTCCGTATGGTGCCTCTAGAACACTTTGGAGTCTTTCTAGGAGGATCTTCCCCAGCCAGCTACTGCTGACCCTCCCTAGCCACCGCAAGCCACACACACACACCCCAAAAGCCCAAGGAGGCTGGTGGCCACAGAGTTCCACTCAAAGTCAGGTCACTGATTCCAGATATGTCCATGACATGGCATTCAACTGAAGATTTCACACCCTGCTAGGAACCTTTAGGGTCCTCACTTATCTTCCTCCACCTTGTCTGGGCACACTTAGCTGTCCCTCCACCTTGTCTGGGCACACTCAGGCTGTCCCTCCACCTTGTCTGGGCACACTCAGGCTGTCCCTCCACCTTGTCTGGGCACACTCAGGCTGTCCCTCCACCTTGTCTGGGCACACTCAGGCTGTTCCTCTACCTTGTCTGGGCACACTTAGCTGTCCCTCCACCTTGTACGTGCACACTCAGGCTGTCCCTCCACCCTGTCTGGGCACACTCAGGCTGTCCCTCCACCTTGACTGGGCACACTCAGG